ATCAAAACATCATAGTATAGTAAGGCATCAAAACATCATAGTATAGTAAGGCATCAAAACATCATAGTATAGTAAGGCATCAAAACATCATAGTATAGTAAGGCATCAAAACATCATAGTATAGTAAGGCATCAAAACATCATAGTATAGTAAGGCATCAAAACATCATAGTATAGTAAGGCATCAAAACATCATAGTATAGTAAGGCATCAAAACATCATAGTATAGTAAGGCATCAAAACATCATAGTATAGTAAGGCATCAAAACATCATAGTATAGTAAGGCATCAAAACATCATAGTATAGTAAGGCATCAAAACATCATAGTATAGTAAGGCATCAAAACATCATAGTATAGTAAGGCATCAAAACATCATAGTATAGTAAGGCATCAAAACATCATAGTATAGTAAGGCATCAAAACATCATAGTATAGTAAGGCATCAAAACATCATAGTATAGTAAGGCATCAAAACATCATAGTATAGTAAGGCATCAAAACATCATAGTATAGTAAGGCATCAAAACATCATAGTATAGTAAGGCATCAAAACATCATAGTATAGTAAGGCATCAAAACATCATAGTATAGTAAGGCATCAAAACATCATAGTATAGTAAGGCATCAAAACATCATAGTATAGTAAGGCATCAAAACATCATAGTATAGTAAGGCATCAAAACATCATAGTATAGTAAGGCATCAAAACATCATAGTATAGTAAGGCATCAAAACATCATAGTATAGTAAGGCATCAAAACATCATAGTATAGTAAGGCATCAAAACATCATAGTATAGTAAGGCATCAAAACATCATAGTATAGTAAGGCATCAAAACATCATAGTATAGTAAGGCATCAAAACATCATAGTATAGTAAGGCATCAAAACATCATAGTATAGTAAGGCATCAAAACATCATAGTATAGTAAGGCATCAAAACATCATAGTATAGTAAGGCATCAAAACATCATAGTATAGTAAGGCATCAAAACATCATAGTATAGTAAGGCATCAAAACATCATAGTATAGTAAGGCATCAAAACATCATAGTATAGTAAGGCATCAAAACATCATAGTATAGTAAGGCATCAAAACATCATAGTATAGTAAGGCATCAAAACATCATAGTATAGTAAGGCATCAAAACATCATAGTATAGTAAGGCATCAAAACATCATAGTATAGTAAGGCATCAAAACATCATAGTATAGTAAGGCATCAAAACATCATAGTATAGTAAGGCATCAAAACATCATAGTATAGTAAGGCATCAAAACATCATAGTATAGTAAGGCATCAAAACATCATAGTATAGTAAGGCATCAAAACATCATAGTATAGTAAGGCATCAAAACATCATAGTATAGTAAGGCATCAAAACATCATAGTATAGTAAGGCATCAAAACATCATAGTATAGTAAGGCATCAAAACATCATAGTATAGTAAGGCATCAAAACATCATAGTATAGTAAGGCATCAAAACATCATAGTATAGTAAGGCATAAAATGTCATAAAAACGTCATTGTATAGTAAGGCATGAAGTGTCAAAAAAATGTCATAGTATAATAAGGCATCAAAACATCATAGTATAGTAAGGCATCAAAACATCATAGTATAGTAACGCATAAAATGTTCTAAAAATGTCATAGTTTAGTAAGGTATCAAATGTCATTAGAATGTCATAGTACAGTAAGGCATAAAATTGTCATAGTATAGTAAGGTATAAAATGTCATAGTATAGTAAGGCATAAAATGTCAAAAAAATGTCATATTATAGTAAGGCATGAAAACGCCTGGGTATAATAAGGCATCAAATGTTGTAAGAACACCATTGTATAGTAAGGCATCAAATATCATAGTTTAGTAAGGTATCAAATGTCATAAGAATGTCATAGTATAGTAAGGCATAAAATATCATAAAGATGTCATAGTATAGTAAGGCATAAAAAGTCATAGTATAGTAAGGCATAAAATGTCATAAAAACGTCATAGTATAGTAAGGCATAAAATTGTCATAAAAACGTCATAGCATAGTAAGGCATAAAATATCATAAAAATGTCATAGTATAGTAAATCTTAAAAAGTTATAAAATAGTAGGCATAAAAATGTCATAGTATATAGTAAGGCATGAAATGTCATAAAAACGTCCTAGTATATTAAAGCATAAAAACAACATAGTATACTTATGTATAAGAATGTAAAAAAATTTCATTGTATGATAATGCAAAAAAATGTCACAAAAACCTCATAGTATAGTAAGGAATGAAAATGTCAAAAACGTCATAGTATAATAAGGCATAAAAATGTCATAGTGTAGTAAGGCATAAAAGTCATAAAAGGCATTAAAAAACGCCATAGTATAGTAAAGCATAAAAACGTCACCGTATAGTAGACATCAAAAGTCATAGTATAGTAAGGCATAAAAAAAGTCAAAGTATATGTAATCAGAAATCAAATCAAATTTATTTATAATTCACATTTAAATACAGCAAACAACTGACCAAAGTGCTGTACAACATCAGTAAAACACAAATAACCCAGATCTGATGGATATGGACAGTGTATTCCAATGTCTGGTAAGGTACAAAAACGTTATAATAAGGCATAAAATGTCATTAAAATGTCATAATACAGCAAGGCATAAAAACATCATAATATAGTAAAGAATAAAAAAGTCACAGTATAATAAGGCTAGAAGAAAGTCATAGTATAGTAAGGCATAAAAATGGCATAGTATAGTTAGGCTTAAAAAGTCAGGGTATAGTAAGTCATAAAGTCTAGTATAGTAAAGCATAAAAAGTCATAGTACAGTTAGGCATAAAAAAGTCATAGTATAGTACGTCAAAGTCATAGTATAGTAATGCATAAAAAGTCATAGTATAGTAAGGCAAAAAAAGTCATAGTATAGTAAGGCATACAAATCATTGTATATTAATTCATACAAAAGTCATAATAGAATTAGGCAAAAGATCTTAGTACAGTAAGGCATAAAAAGTCTCACTATAGTTGCGCACAAAAACGTCATAGTATGGTAAGGCTTAAAATGTCATAGTATAGTAAGGCAAAAAAAGTCATGGTATAGTATAAATTTGTTTGTGTATTGGCAAATCTGTTATATTTTTCTAAGATATTTTTGTGAATTTGCACGTTTATTTTTTGTACTTGTGGAAGGTGTTTTATATTTACAGACTACACATTTATGCATGGATTGTCGAGCTGTTCACACAAATAATATTGAAACAAATCTATCTGCATATTTAGAAAATTCGTTTTAGAAGCAGATGTGACACACACAACATTGGTTAATAGACTGGTAATACCGGTTTCTTTTATTAATAAATATAATGTACTAACACAATTTGAGCCTTTTCCTCATAGTTTGGGCTAAAATGTGCTTTCACTAGACAGTCACAGTTTTTATATGTCCCCTTTATCCTTGTATCTAGTATATTAAACAGAGTAATAGTTGTGCACATACACTTTTTATCCCACACATAACCATTAAATGCAACAACATGACTGTTGTAATTGGAGCTCCTGAGCTGTACTAGTTAACAGATTATTGAGAGATTATTTTCTAGATTAGTCCTGTTATCTAAGAAAAAAATAAATAAATAAAATTCCAGGGATTGATAATCCAGGCAGGGTCACCATCGTTCAAACAGCAGACATTCAGTGGGCAGGAGATTCACTCAGTGCATCAGAACAAATTATACAAAAAAAATTCTTTCATAATAAAATCGTCCTGAGTGACTTTGTCTGCAGGAGATTATGCAATGTACTGTAAGTTTTTTACATAAATGAAATCTACTTTGAGTGCATATGCTGTTAAGAGAGCCAACAGTCACATGATGAAAGCATCTGAGGCTAAACTGTTTTTTTGTATGCTCATATATAATTTTATATTCATGGAATTACTGCCAAGCAAAATTTAAAGTAGCATAAAAAGGCATTGTAATCCTCACAAATAGGTAGAACCATTCATCTCTTTGTTCTACGCTAATTGATTTTTAGCCAAAAATGTAGGATTTATTTTATTCCATTTATATTTGTCAGCAAATACTGCAACTTCAATTTAGTTTCTTTTTCTGCTTTTGTTTTCCTAAAATGTTTCTCACACCCTATGAAATGACAACACCCTTTCTGTACAGTTTGTGCCTGTCATAATAAAAGATGGGGGCAGGTCAGAGTCTAGCGAGAGGCGAGCCTTGCACATCTTACATAATAGTGCTCTCTCTCTCTCTCTCTCTCTCTCTCTCTCTCTCACAACCTGTATATTCTGCCCTGCAGACAGTGCAGCAGACCTGCAGAGGAAATTAATATTTTAATCTCTCAGCCAGATTCAAAGAACAGTCCCCGCTCTCACAGGGCAGCGGATAAATAAGTCATGAGCTAGAGGTTTGTGTGACAACAGGGCTGGACAGACAGTCACAACAACACACGCTGGGAGGAAGTGCACGGCTCTGGGTTTGGCAGCGACTTTCAAATGGGATGTGAGTGACTGATGGTCTCTAAAGTTTCAGAATAAATATCCCAAAGCTGCCGATTTAGATGCTGAGCAACCAGCTTCATTATGCTGTTGACTCTGCATTTGAGATAGTGGCACCCTGCACATATTTAATTTACTGACAAGGTAAAAGCATTGCAAGGCTGCTTCTCCTCAAGACATAAAAATTAGGTCACTCCCACTACTTTACTGAGAGCATGATGCAGTCAGAGCTTCATGAATGGATGACGCCACACTGTGGTCAGTCTGAACAATCTCAACAAACGTGTGTGGTTTGTGCAAACTGTAGCAGACACTGCAGTTGTATTCAGGAACTAAATTACTTCTCCAAAAAGTCTTCTTCAGGCAGGAGTTGAAAAGCAAGATGTGACTTAAGAGGAAATGTGGCTTCTTATGTTTAACTTATACCTTATTCTAACTAACACAACAAAACATTACAGGACATACGTTTGGGGACAAGAAATAAAATTCATAGATGTGAATATATTGTAAAATTGTTAAAAACTAAAAACCAGTGCTTGGTTTAATCTTCAATGTCACAGATTATTCATCCACGTCAATCCACAGCACTGTTTCAGCACAATTCTTCCCTATTCATGTTACAACTTTTTCATTTGGTTGCTCATAAACATTTTTCACATACAGGTTCTTTCCGTCAACACAGTTCTTTCGTACATTCCAAAAAACATTACTGCATCATGGTGGGGGGAAAAAACATAGCGCCAGAAAACTACGAACAAGGAATGGTACTGTCCCTTTAAGTTCCCAAGCAGATGTTGACATCCTCGTCCTCTTCCAGTAATGTCTCAACCCTGTTCAAATTGAATTAGTGAGAGCACACCATCCTCATTAAGGCGCAATGAATGATCAACTGCACTAGTCAATATCTCAGACATGTTGTGGGCAGGACGCAGAAGTTTTTTTTCCTTTCTTTTTAATTGGCCATACAAAGTTGTTCTTTCCTTGAAAACCAAGGAATTTATGAGGAATTTACTTAAAAGGACAGCAATGCAAAAGGTAACATAATGTTAATGGTTAACAAACTAAAATGTGTAGGAATGATAAACTGAGGACTGTACCATTATCCAGTCATTCTACAGGATTCTGTACATCACACTCTAAATGACTTAAAAATAAATCTGAATAAGTCATGTTTACGTTATTTACAGTTAAATGTAAAGCTTTGTCTCTTGGCGCAACAAAATGTTTTGTTCAGTAACTTCAAAGTGTCTCATTTACACTTCAATTTAAAACCATATTAGCTTCATAGGACCCATTATATCTGGCATTAACATGTGTCTTGACTGATATCACACTCACTGCTGTGGTCATTTGTGTTGCACCCAACATGAAGTCACAATCTAGTCATGCAAACACCTCAAAAGGACACTTGAGATACATTAACAAACTCTAAAATTAAATGTGGTGCAAGATAACCTCCATAGATACCAATGTGGCAATAAAAGACATGGCAGGCTGTTGTGTTTTGGCTCTGCATTCCAGTAAACTGAATCTGAAATGAAACAATGTGAAGGATCAGCATTGAGGGTGTTTATAGCCACATCCATGTGGAAATTGTAGTATTTTTTTTTTTTTTTTTTTTACTTATGCCTCTCTTGGCAAAAAGGGCTCCAATCTCTGCTCTGCACTCCCAACAGAGATTGGAGCAAAGAAAGTAAAAGCCAAAGACACTGTTTCATTTCAAATCCAATGTGCTGTACTCAAAACATGACTGTCCGAACTATGATATAATAAGACAAATTCCAGTTTCTTTATGTGCACGGGAAGTAATAACACATAACACATATTATTGCTAGGTGAAAATGCTACAACCAGTTGGCCTGTGTTATTATACAGTATGCATATAAATACAATTCATGTTAATGCCAGGTATTATGAGGGCATATGATATCACTATTGTTATCTGTTAGCTCCAGTGTGGGCCGTGTTCCAGCCATTACATGGTTCATAATATCAAAAATGTTCTACAAATGTCCCACATAAGTAAATGTTTGCAAAAAAAAATGTCAGCTCTATTTCACATAGTTTTTTCTGGTATATATTTAAAAATCATGAAAAAAAACTGAGCAGTTTTACCCTTTTGAATTTTCCCAAATCAAAATAGATCATAGCATATGGATCTGACTGAGGATTTGTCTGTAAACTGATGTTGGGGGTGGTGTCTCTCCTACTTCCACACTGTCAAAGTGTTGTTTTCTGTTCCATATGTTGCTCATGCTTCAAATATTGAAGTCATGTTTGTCTTGTAGTGTGAAGAAGAATGGTGGGGGTCCAAAGTCTTCTTCAGAAATCAGTACGTATGCAGCTGAGTGAAGGCCTCTGGCACTCTGATCCCAAGTTACTCCTGAGTTAAATCCATGCATAGTAGTGGCAACGACAATGAGTGTGTCAGTAATCACAGAAACTGCTTGCGCTCATACCCACACAGTCCATCCCAGACAAACAGTTAGTTCATTGTTCATTGTCTCAAACAGCCTGCTAGTAGTTGAGGAGGCGCTCCCTTTCTGTACCAGCGTAGCGCTGATTAGCAGCAAACACTTTTGCTTTGTTGACTGAAGGACCTATGAAAGGAGTTACAACACATTAAATTTAATTTTAAATCAGAATTAAATCTGTGTTCAAATTGTATGCTTTATGATTTTCACTTTAACGTGTGACATTACTGACCTATATAGCTGAGAAGTACAGGGAGAAAGATGAGGCCGTGTGTGGCCCCCAGAAGCACGATGGCCAAGTACATCCTAAAGTAGAAGACCTGGAAGATTTGTGACTTGGAAAGCGCCAGGATTATGATACCTCCAAACTTTGTTAATGTGATCCCGCTGAATACCTGCAAAAAAGGAAACGTGTCATTAAATGTCATGTCACTGTGATCATGATAAAAAACAAAATTATTTTATACCTGACTTTTTCAGCTTAAGCAGATATGCAATTAAGTTTTCCTCAAAACGAAAACATTGATTTATGCTGCCGTACACGCTTGTATACACTGAGATGCACATAATCACTATGCAAACATTTTCAATCCAAATATTTACTTATCATTTACTAACCTAATCATTTACTTATATTGATAAAGCTTCCTCTCGTCAGTGTGCTAAGAGGTAAAGCCAGACTTACAGAACTGCCCATGTGAGCCAGAGCCTCTTCAGCCCGCTCCACTCTGCTCTTCTTCACACTGATGGAAAACGCTCTCACAATGTGACTGCAGAACTCCACCGAGATACCACAACTCTGCAACGGAGGAAAGGAAACTACTCAGCACCATAAACACGGAAATTATGAAATGAAAGCCAACCAACCTAAGTTTGCTGTCTTGAAGTGAATATGTATGTGTGAGATTATAGAAAAAACAAGTATTGGTTCCAGTTTTTTTCTGGCTATAACAACATTTTACTTGCCGACATAATTGCTGACATTTGTGGACTTGGTGACATTGCTAGACCAAAGTCCCTTAGGGTACGCAAGGCCAGGGGTCAGACAGCCAGACAAAGTGTAAACACATCCTCATTTCAAAGCCACAATCTCTGACTCAAAAGACCAAATAGTCACAGAGTTGCAGAGAATTAATATTAGGGAAATAGTAAAACAGACTTGCAATTCAGTCAAAACAGATGTACTTGCAATAAATATCAGTTGGGAAACAAAAAAATATTTTTCCATTTACAAGTCAAACTGCTAAAACAGTTTGCATAATGTCTGACAGTAAGTTCAACTCAAGGCCCACTTTTTCACAGCTTTCCTCAGAATGTTGAGGGGTGAATAATTTGTTTTACCAAAACATGCTAAAACATTATTTACAATGTGTCTGACTGTTTGCTAGCTTGTGTTGGTGCTATAATAAACTTTTCTATTGATGCTGCCATGTTCCCAGATTGGAGCAATTAAATTGATGAGTCAATTGTCATCATATCTGACAGGAACTATTGCTATAACTATAAAAACATGAATTAATGTTGTAAAAAGATGTGATTTTCTTTTAACTTCAAAGACACTCCTTTCTTTCTGCTGACCTCGTCTTATTTAATTGAAAAGTTTTTTTTTTAAAAGTTTTTATTGCTTTGCCTAAAGTGCTGTGTAAGATAAATGTGAAGCGTTTTTCATGTTGCCTCTCACCATGACCAGGTTCACTAGGGAAACTGCGTTGAGGCTGATACCCCACAGCCACATGACGCCGAACATGTTGACCAGGATCATGGCGATGGTAAGGCTGACAAGAACAGCTGACCACAGCTCGAAGCCCAACAACACCGTCGACACCACAAATATGGCTGCAAGTGACACGCTTAAGTTCAGAGCTGTGTCATACGCAATGGTGAGGTACTGCTCGTAAAACACATAGAAGACGCTGTAAAGGAAGAAAAATATGTATTAGTGAACAGCCACTGAGAAAACTGCCAACATTGTCCAGTTGCTTAAAATCAGCAGATCAGGGTGTGGCTTCTAAAATTATCAATTTTGTTTTACTATTAGTAGTATTTGTGATCAGAGGCAAATTTATGTCTGGTCTAGTGATGAATTTTAGTAAATGAGTGACTAATGAGTCAGCTTATTCCATCATTGTATAAATGCAGTAAATCTAATTTCCTATCTGCAAATCACTTATTCGTGGAACACTGGGTTAAACCTCAGCAGTGGTGGTGTGACTTTTCTGTGATATTACAGGATACACTGGATAGGAAGGATAATTCAGTACTTATATCAAACATCAACTCCATTGCCATTTATAATGTTTTCTTTCCTGTGTGCTTATCTATGACCTACTCCTCCCCTCTGATTCCCTTGAACCTTGTGTTCAAAACAAGCAGAATTTCAGATACCAGTATTTCACCTTAAACATACACAGAAAAACCCTCAAGTAGTGGGTGGAACTAAAAACACCTGATAAATGATTTAATTTATGCAGCGTATTAAGCAGAGCAACAGGACTTACCTGTAGGCAAAAACTTTATGGTCCATGGACTGACTGATATTGTCAGCCAAAATTCGGGCCATTTTTAGAGCATCTATGAAGTCTGGGGATTCCTTCAGGATGGTGTGGTAAGTCATAAAGTAAGTGGCTCCCACCCCTGTGTTGTTCGGATACAGGTCAACTGCTGTGGCATAGGCTGCATGGCCACTGTAGGAGCATTAACCCATTGTGAGTGACAGTAAAGCAGGGGCAATTTACAAACCACAACAAAACTGGTCAACTGTAAAAGGGGGTCCTTTTTAACACATGGGAAACGGAAGTTAAAGTGAAAATATTCAATGATATGTCATGTGTTTTCAATAAGATTTTGACAGAGCTATAAAATTACCCTTTTCCACACTTGATGTTGGGATTGTCCGACAGGAACATGGGGAGAAACCGCATGAAGTCTTCTCCTTCAGGTCTCTGCTTTCCAGCAGGAGTCATGGGCCGACAGTGCACACAAGATGGGTTTACCACTGGAAAACAACATCAGGAGTAAATTCATCCATTTAACCAAAAGGTATTGAAGAAATATGCAAAATAACTCTGAGACAAAGCCAGGAATTGAAAACAAATGAATGAACAAATCTGAAACAAGGTTGCACTAATTATAAATATATTAGAAAGTCTCCATTACATGAAGCATACAACCGCTATCTCTGAATTTCAGTTCTGAAAAATGTAACATCTCACTTGAATTATGATAACATTAAATTCTGTTTTGTGTTTCCTTATTTCTCCTGTTCGTTCAGCTAAAATTTGCCCTAAAATGCCATTTGTTTCACTGCATTTTGTGTATGACTGTATGAATTGACAAAAAATGTTGAACTTGTGACACCAGGCTCGTGAGACAAGGGTTCAAAGCATGTTGACATTAGATTAAAATTTACCCGAGGCATTGCAGAAGGCCCCGGTGGTGTTGTAGTATCGACAGCAGGTAGACTGAGGCTTCACCCAGTCAAAGTAGTCATCCAGCCAGGAGGACGGTGTGAAGGCAATGGTTGTGCTGAAAATTGAAAATTGAAGAGATTATAGAATCATAGGTTAGATTACAAAAACTCTCCTTTCATGATTTATCTCAGGTTGTGTATTTAAAATCATGATTAAAATTTCAAACAGGTTCCCAGACTCTTCCTGTAGCAAATTTTTTATATTCAGTATGGATTTTGTCCTGTGCATTGAAACCACACATGAGCTAATTCGTTTATAGCTCAGACTTACTAGTTGCTGATGAGTGAGGCTGCGTAGACCTGCTGAACCAGGGAGTTGTTGTTGCAGCCCACTCCTCCACATACAACATTCTGGCCCTCTGGGCTACTGTAGTTGAGACCGTCCTCTACCACAAAGTACACTGGAGCTCCAGTGTGGAGATATTCGCTCAAGTTCTTAAAGTAGTCCAGCACGTATGAGTCCTGGATGGAGAGACAAACCGTCATATTATACATAAGAAGACTGTTGTAAAAATGTGATTGATTAATCTTCCTGTATGACTGACAGGAGCAGTAAAGTACGCCACAAAATAAACTACATCACAGATGAAGTATTACTACAAATATTCAAATATAACCATTCTAATTTGCACACACTTTTTAATAAGCTTCAAGTGGTGTCCACTAAAAATCCATGAACACAGGTGTGATATAAACTGCAAAGACTTACATCTGGCATGGATAATTTCTGGTCCAGTCCAATCTCTACTTTGTTCACTACAGCAATACTGAAGGAGAGAACTCCAACAAACACAGCCACCTGAAGAAGGAAAGATGAAAACCTCTTTATAATGAACAACATGATCACTGACCAAAAACAATATTTTACTCATCGGAAGATATGACTGCAACTCAATACATCAATACTTTATCAGGATAATACATGACAGGAGGAGTCTCTCTAAAAATAATGTAGCTGTGGATGACTGGCAAAGTGTGACTGAGGTACTTACTATGATTGGTCGCACCCACTCTTTGAGGATGAATGGGGCATAGACTTTCTTGAAAAAACGGAAGAGGAAGCCATCCGTCTTGGTTTCCTGACCTTCTGGCATCTTCACACAGCAGATGATGTCGAGTCGATTCCCCTTTTAAAAACAGGACAACACATCATTCGATAAGTGTAATTTAGTCTGTAACTAATTTGAAGATTGAATCATTAAGAACAACCATGTGCCACTGAGGACAAAGAGCAGGTTTTAACTGCAAACACTCACTGCACTGACAATGCTCTGCAAACAATCAACCAGTAAATAGATAATCAGTTAAATTAGCTACTGTAATGATTGGCAGGATGATAACTGTCACATATCTGAGTGCGACATTAAATCGGAGCTGTTAAATCTGTAGGAAAGCAGTTTCACATAAATCTAACAGCTCCTGACAATCTATAACCCCCGCCAGTTTCATCATGAATGTCACCACAGTCTCCCCTCAGACCTCACCTCCTGTCTTCTGGCATCCAAGCCGAGCAAGCTGACAAAGCAACTGATCTGCAACAGGAAATCAATAAAGACAGCCAAGCCGGCAAACAGAGAGAAAGTCCTCACTGCAGGCATATTGGAAAGGGCCCCTGTAGACGGAGAAAGTCAACAATTTTAACAGCTTGTGACCAAACAGAAGACTATTGCCCTTTTTGAGTGCAACTACATCAATCCTATCCACAAAAACATTCTTAATTTAAGTTGAACCATAATCTTGAACAATACATATTTTAAAGTTTCAGTTACATTGTTTGTGTATATAAATGGAAAGCATTTAATAGATGACCCATTTTACCTAGGAAGAAGGCCACTGTCTCAGAGAATGAGGAGAGGAACATGCTGGGGGCAACATCTCCAAGAATACGCCCAATCTGCTGGTGTAGTTCCTCCTGTGGCATCCGCTCATCCCTCTGTTCAAAAATGCAAATGGAAATCACTTTTGGTCGATTTGACAAATTACTGGCAGCGTACCAAAACACTAATCTTGTTGAAATTAATTACCGTTTTTTTTTTTTTTTTAAGAGATGCTGACAGCTAGAAAAACTAGGAAAAGCAACAAAAGTGTCACGATTCAACTGAATAAATCATAAAAACTGATAATGACAATGTACATAAGCATTAAACCATTAAACCCAATGACCAATAAATGGATGATCATTTAAAAAATTTTTATACATTGGGAGAATGGAGGCTACCTGGTATGTCTGCACTATAATAAAGATGTTGTCCACTCCAACAGCCAGCACCAGGAAGGGAATGACCTCAATTACAATAAGCGTGAGAGGGATACCAGCATAGCTGAAGATCCCCAGTGAGGCGGCCACAGAGCTGAGCACAATCAGGATACCCGCTATACCCAGAGAAATCTTAGAGTCCACCTGTGCGGGGCAAAAGATAGAGGGTGAGTCATGTTCTTCCCTGAGCTGCTCCCTTTCACACTTGAGCACAGGAAGTTGTCAAGCGAGATGTACTGGTTTTGTTGGACTAAAGCTCTTATGTCACAGGCAGAAAAGACAAGTGACACTGCATGAGTGAAACTTTCCCAAGGATGGATTATGGTAACCAAGACATTGAACGAAAATGATAACGACACTGAATTGGGGCTTTGTCTCTTACCATCACCCTCCTGAAGCTGTGGATGTGACCGAGGGCCAGGGAGATGTAGATGAACATAATGACATAGCTGATTACTATGGTGCTGATGTCACCGTCGCTCTCTCTGTCAATTTCATCTTCGACACTCCTCTCTGCACTGAACGCTATGGTCAGGTTGGGGTTTTTGAAGTTCTTCATGAATTGGATGAATCTGAAATGCACACAAACAAAACACAATAAGTACAAACACAAAGAAAACACAGTGACTTTTACTGAAGCTATCTAAAAGTAATTTTAGAAACACATTGGTGTCTCACTCTTTCTCCCATGCCAGAGCTTTTCCCAGCCGGACTGAGTCGTTCAGGTAGTTGTTGAGTGGAAAGGTGATCACTAGAGCGGTGGCGTTGTTGTAGTTAGTGCCTGTAGTGTGGGGGGGGGGGGGGGGGGGATGCATTAACTGTAAAGGTGAGGCCATCACTTATACAATCCTCGGTTATCAAGCATATTGATAAAGATGATTAAACTAGAAGTAGAAGTTGAAGTAGAAGAAGTAGAAGCACTCGCTTTGGCAGAGAGACAATAACAGCCAGATAATAAATTTATAACATCCTGGAAAAACATGGCTATCTCTCAGACAGCTGGTTGTGATTGTTATTGGTTATTATTGGTTATTACTATCAGCTCTCATGATAATCAGAGGATTATTTCCTTATTCACATTATCATCTTAAACAGCACAGTTGTAATCTGACTGCTGCACACACCATGTAGGCTAATTAATAAGCTCACTGCTACCTGCATCAACACTGCACAATTAGCAAAGAGCACAATGTCAGGTGTTACTGATACACCTTTAGATTAAGACTGCGACATATAGCAGGTTAATGCACAAGAAGTTCAGTGACTAGAAGACCATACATTTTTTTTTCTAAATGCAATAAAATAATCTACAGAGAGGCTCTAAACAGAATATGTAAATGCTGTAAAGGAAGAACTACCACTATTTTCTGTATCTCTATCTTCATCAACAAGTGTTACTCCAGCTCACCATCGTAACCCCCAAGGGCCAGCCACGGGAAGACGGGCCCCCCAAACGTGCCCAAACAAGGGTCATGGAGGAGAGTGGTGTCGTTAAGGGATGCTGGTGCACTGCAGGAGAAAAGGCGAGCAGAGTTAAGTCAGTATCAGAAAAAACAAAGAACCACCACATGACAACCAATGAGGAAGTATTACTGTGCTATTTTAAGACACTATCCACCACAAAAATGGAGAAAATAGATTCTTGTGAGCTGCAGGTGTTGAATTTGATATGGATGTGTTTTCTAGAGATTTTAAGCGTTTTACTATTGCCCAACAGGAAAAGGAAAGGCTTGATTTAAAACCATGAGTGCCAGTTGGTAAGTTGTTGGTAAGTATTTGAAAAAGGAAAAGAAACTGGCAGAAGAAAAAAAAAAAAAAAAAAATCACCTGACACAGTAGAGGAAGTGGCTGTGATAGTCAGCATAGACAAAGAAGTCATCTCCTATACTGTGGTCCAACACAGCATGGCTGTTCTGGAAGTAGTTGAGGACACTCAAGATGGTACAGTTGTTGTTGTATGGGGCCAGCGGAGCCAAGCAGATGTCTTTCAGGGTGACGTTTTGGCCCTCGTATGTGGCCACGAGGGCTTCGATGTCAAGCTGCAAGTCCAGCACCTGGTTGTTTATAGTTACAAAAAAATTAAAGTAGAAAAAGAGAAGAGAACCAATAAACCATGGTTTAAGAAATGAAACTGCTCTTTACATGCTTCTAATCTAGTTAACAGAAGCAATACTTCTTTATACATAAACACCCAGTTGCTCTAATGACAGCAAACTAACCAAAATTGCTAAAACAGACCTCTCCCACTGACCCACCTGGTGCAGGATGTCTTTATCCAGTATGGCTCCGAATGGGACATCTGACCCTCCAAAGTATGGGGAGTAGATGAAAGTGTCATTGAGTGGAGTGGTTATAATGAGCTGTACAGTTCTAAAGAAGGGTCCAAAGTGGCTGTCAAAATAGTCCTTCTCTTGACGGGCCTGGCTAGTGGGAGACGACCACAGCTCAACGGGGTTAGTGGTGATGCGCATATAGACCAGTCCCCCAGAGGAGGCTACCACAAGTATCAGGCTGCCCAGTATGACCAGAGAGGGATGCCGCACACAGAAGGAACCCCAGGAGCTGAAGAGGGTTCGCAGTGCATTCTCGAAGCGTTCGCCAAGAGTTTCACAGCATGACGCATTTACTAAGAAGAGAAACAGACTGGGAGTTAGTTTTGATTGTGCAGCAAGGAAAGAACAATATAATTACTTGTATTACACCTAAAAAGCAAGTTAATTATTTGTAAGGCAAACAGATTTCAGAGAGAAGAAAAATAATTGGACCTTTAATCATGTATTATTATACCTTGGTCAGGATTATCACTGTTGAGAGACAGTGGGTTATTACTGTCCAGTATGGGGCCATACTCAGACATGATTGTCCTTTTCCTGTAAACACAAATAACCACACCAAACAATTAGATATTAAGTTCAAATGCCAGCAACAGAACCAAAATACTGAGTGAGTAGCTGCAGATACACTGCAAAAAGTCCTTTACCTGTAACACCACGCTCCCAGCACAACTCCAAAGAAGATAAGCAGGAAGGCTACGTAAGAGATCCACATGATGAAAGTCATGGCATCGACACCAAAGATCGTCCAGGGTGGGGGGAGAGGGGGAGGTACAGGTTTGGGCCCACAGGCATTTGTGCAATCCTGACAGGAGCAAGGACCCGAGCCGTCCTCTAAGCCCTCTGTGCACGCATACGTCTTGTTGTTCATGGGAGTATAATCAGATACTGGGACATCTAGAGAAAAGAAACAGCATAACACAGCAGAATGGATTAACCATCAAAATGCTAAAAAAAAAAAACAATTTTCTGCAGCAGGCACATGACCAAATAAGAACAATTACTACAAAAAGATTTACCTGAGAATATCGGGATGATAGGGAAGGGAGTCTGTCCATTGTTAATATCGAACATGTACTGGATCCAGTTAGTAGCATTGCAGTCCTTTGCATCCTTGCCACACAGCAGTGATAAGGCCTTTAAATTGCTAGATGGTGCCTGGACATCCTTACAGGCATTGTACATGGCTGAAAAAGTCCAATTTAATTATTTTAGGACAAAACTCAAAGATTTTCACTAAGTTAAATTGACTTTGTGTTTAAGATTTAATCAGCAGATTTCACATGTAAGCCAAATGTGGCCATTTTTACTTAGCTTTTCTATAGATTTAACCAGGAAGCCATGAAAATGAAGGTGAAGCTGTTTATTGTGTCTTAATCCACATCTGATTGTGAACTCACCATTAGCAAACGTTTGTCCAATATAGTACTGCACTTCCACTACATTGGTCGCATTGAACTTGGTGGCATTCATGAACTGACTCTGGTGGGGGCTGCATGTCAGCTCACAGAAGAGATTCATCAGATTGAAGAAACAGGCGGGACACCTGCACACAGACGTAGCGAGTGTCAGAACCATTGCATAACTTTCAAATAATAAAAAAAGTTCATAAGTGTAAAACAGCTGTAAACAAGGTAGTTATAAATGTGGTGAAATAGAAAAAAAAAAAATCTACAAAGATAAGAAATTTTGTCAACCTCTGCAAAACATGGCAATTTGGCCTCCAACCCATAATTTGGATCATGCACAGCCAGGGTTTGCATGTTACAACAACAAAATGTGAGCAGCACATGTACTGACAGTTTTAAAGGGGTAGATATTCTTTGTGTTCAGAAGGGAGATAATAATGATACCCTTCAAAGCATGTCATGTGCTTCATTAGGTAATGTCATAACTGCAGTGCATACCTAGACAGGAACTGAAGGGGAAGCTGGAGACTCCCTTTGAGAGTGTGCAACTGGTCAACATTACAGCAGAGGCTTCGGTTTCCATAGTCATATCCAGGACAAAGTTCCTGCATGTAAACACAAAAGGAGTGACATCACTTTAATGCACTTTTATAATATTTTTTACCACTGGAAAGCAGAAGTATGTTACAGAACACTGGTTTGAACATCAAACGTCAGCAAATAACAAGTCAAAAGTATTAAGAAATATACCGTGAGAAGCTCTTGACCCTCAGCAGGTAGCGAGATGGGGGGACCAGTGTAGTTGCAATTGTACTTTTTTCCGGGCACCTTTTTGGACTCCCCACACTCGCCATACCACACACAGTGCTCGGCCTCAACCTGATAGTAAGACAAGAAAAACACAATGATCATTTGTGCAGTGTGTTCACAGAGGAAATTTGTTTGGCATCATGCTGGTCTGCATACAGTATATTTATTTTTTCTGTAGAATCTGGTGGAACTTGAGTGGCTTTTCATTTATACTTGTTTTCATTAGTGAGGACGAGGACAAGGTCTTAAGCCCAAACACACTAAATTCCTCTAAAGGCAACAGTGGACCACATGACTTAGTTTTGGCTGCTCAAAAGGACTTAACCAATCTGATCTGAGGTTAAAGCTTTATCTTGAGGTTTTTTGTTTGCCAGGTTGAACCTCTCGTCATGTTTCTTTTCCTGTGTTTCTAGAATCTCGTGCTTTGTATGTCTGAAAATAAAATTTCACTTCTGCAAAAGTATTTCCTTTCAACCCAGCATTTGAAAAATAAGCCATTGAAAAGCAGATGGAGAAGCAGTTTAGTCATATCATTCAATGTTATCTTGACTACACACACATTCAGATTCAAAAAGAAGGCAAGAAAAAGCAGAACTGGTGGTCAAATTTATATGGTAACATAACAACGCTTCTGCAAATGTTATTATGACTAAACCATGTTCAATTTGAACAAAGATATTTTAAACTTGATACTTTCCATAAAATGCAATAACAAACTATTACAATTGTTTAAAAATGTTTAAAAGATTTAAATACTATTTATAGTTCCTCAGTTAAGGTTTTCTACAATCTGTCTATTCAGCATCAGAGCCCTCACATGTTCGTTGTCGGGAGGGGTGACTTAGGGAAGTTAATTCACTTACTCTACAAACTGTTTTATGAGCATGTCCAGCGTCACACTCTGCCCGACTTGTGTCTTGTGGGACTGAGTTAAAGGACAGCATTCAAACGTCATTATTTCCTCAGTTGGAGTCCTACGCAGCTGCAAACTAGGCCAGTACTCTAAATGTACCAGACTTGCAAGACTGAGATCCAGGGGTACAAGACTCACTTATCTAGGGTAAGAACTAGAACCCTACAAGGTTTGTTTGAAGTGGCTCATAGATATAATAGAAACCTAACACCAGCCCTACAGGAGAAACAGTATAATTCGTTTCTGTAAAATCCTTTCTGCTTATTCACTGCAGTCTCCAAATGATCAATATTTTTACTCATCCCACATACTTGTTGTTTTAACCAGGAAGCTGATATCTTATCTTGAAACAGTAATGATTAATCAGATCCAGATGTGATGGCTTTAGCATAGTTTAGTAGTTTCATGCATTGCAGGGGACTGACCCAATTACCTTACGAATATGGGTGCAAATGCAGTGAAACGAGTTTAGAGGCCACTGATAAAATGTACATCTGATTAAATCAAATAAATACATCACACCTTTATGTTCATTATTTCTTTGATCTGGTTATCAATAACATGAAAGGTACATCTCAATGATTTTGTCGTCTTTTCCCTTGTAATGTACTATTCAAGCTCTTGTTCTTATAATTTAATACAGTGGTTTAATAAACAGTCAAGCAGTCAAGCCTCCTACGTTTTGTCACAGTGAATACATTGTGTCTGCACCCGCTAATTCCAAATGAAAAGACATTACAGCGTCAAAAAGTGATAAACAGATTAATTTAGCTAGCCATCTCCAAACCACCATATGTGTTCTAGATAAATAACTTGCTAATGTTGCAGATTTAGTGGTCTTCATCCCAGTTTTGTGAGCCAGTTAAACTGGGTCAAAAGTTATGGCTTGGGATAATGAAAAGATTACCGGGAACACATTTAGCTAAGCATTATTTTTAAAACCTCGTAGAAATATTGTTGTGTTTTCGTTTTGTCATGACATGTTCGGCACCGGCTTTAAGTCCAAGACAGAGCCTGCGCCAGCCCTGTCTGCCTCTGTGAAATGCCAAAGCTAACGTTTGTGTTGTCCCTTTTCGGTGCTCGGTTTACGAGGCTGGTCCAGTTTTCAAACAGCACTACTGTTTCCTGTTATGTCTGGGCCACTATTAAGCAGTCACTATTAAGCCAATTACTGACTAACGCCGTCTTTACCCGGGTTACATAGAGCGAGAGCCCTAAATAGCTAAACTAACCTGGACCTTAGTTTCGCTAGCTGCCTCAGATAAACATCATAATAGCAACTGCAGACCGAGCTGAGTCACGTTTAAGTCACGAGAACACGGACGTTAAGTTACACTTACCCATCGAAAATATCCCTCTGACAGGACTATAATGAAGAAAAGTGTGCATAAAATGCTTCTGCTTGGTAAGAGTCCCATCCCTCTTACTGAAAAGACCGAATTGGAGTGACAGCGCAGGTAAAGTTTCGCATATCTTGTTGATGGTTTCTTCTTCCTCGGACTATTCGTTTGTGGCAGAAACAAACTGTTGCCTCAGTGCTGCCACCAAGTGTCGCCGACGATACACTACACTTACACTGAAACTACATTAATCTACTGCAAATCACTTTAAATCACAGTCCCCCCAAAAAATGCCAAAATTGGAACAACTTTGGTTATTTCACATGATATATTTCTGTATTTGCATTTTGTCTGTGCTCTGATTGGTCTAAAGTGAATAGGGCTGTGCTAGGAAGGGTGATTATATGAATTTCAGTGAAATAGTGTTTAAAAATATCATTATTAAACTTGATCTGCCATTGCAAGACTTATAGGTAATATAGTCTGTGATTTTAAGAAAATTTACTGTTTAGTTTAAAAATTCCTCAGTTTATATTAATATGTAATAATAACATTGGTAAAAAAAAAAAAAAAAAGAAAAACAACAGCCACATACGCTTTTTATTATTCATTTCATTATATTGATCACAATGAAATGAAGCAGCACATTGTCACAATTTTCTCTTCAAACAAGAAGGCTATTATTGATCGATGTGTGCTCTTCCTTTTGATGTTTTCATGTGAAGACATCCTCCTGGTCTGTGTTATTGGTAATGAATTTTTGTTTCTCTAAATAAAGTTTGAGGAAACTATCAATCACAGCTGATCAAAGTGCATCCAAACTGTCCTGATGAAGCAGATTAGCTGAGTGACTGAGTGTCAACTCTTTGTTTTAAAACTTTAATGAATAATAAGTAGATTTGTTTTGTTTGATTTAGTTGCAAATATTTATGATATAGAGAAAAAAAATAAGATTTAAGACCAAGTTTTCACATCTAAACTCAAAAGTATTAATGTTATAACCTTTCAACCTACAGCCAGACTAGAACATATATATGTAAGTATGTATGTGTGTGTATGTATATATATACACATATATACAGAACTACCAATTTCAAACTTTAGATAATTAAAATTAGGTATGACTTTAAAATATGGGTTGTTGTTAGGGTCAGGCTTTTGAGGCCTAACTGGTAGAGATTGGAGTTATGTTTACGTTTAAGTAACAAATTGTTATATTTTACTGAGGATATATATATATATATATATACACACACACACACACACACACACACACATATATATATATATATATATATATATCCTCAGTAAAATATAACAATTTGTTACTTAAACGTAAACATAACTCCAATCTCTACCAGTTAGGCCTCAAAAGCCTGACCCTAACAACAACCCATATTTTAAAGTCATACCTAATTTTAATTATCTAAAGTTTGAAATTGGTAGTTCTGTGTGTTTGCAGTTCATTATAATTGGAGTGTTTAATATATTTCTTCCCCTCAGGTCAACATCACCACATCACATTTGATTTGGAGTCAAACAGTATAATCAGCAATCTAAGGGCAGATTTAGGGGCACAGACAACATATGAGACTCAACTGATTTTGATAAAATGTCATCGTTTTATTCTGTGTACATTACATATAATGTATACAATGAGAGGAATTCTTCCTGTAATGCTCAATCAAGCACCTTTTGTGTGCTCGTCATTGGCAGTTTCAAGTCATGTCACGTTGGTCAAATTCAGGTGCTCATACTACCACACTGTGAAACACTAAAGCATCAGAGAGGATGCACCACCCATTCAGCCGACTATCTGCTTATTCATCAAATTGTTCCTTGAAGTGCTAAAGGCGTCAAGATAAAAAAAGACTGAGTGACTGAGTTAATCCTTGGGATTGTTTTCCTTCTTCCCGTATCTCGCCCTTCATTTGTTAAAGCTGTGGAAAAAAAACCAAACAGAATGTATTTCCATAGAAAAAAAAAGATTTATTCATGTTCACTTTTGAACGAAATAAATCACAATTCAGGAATAACTATATTCACGTATGATGTGACAAAATTTTGTACTGATATTATAGTATAAATTATATGTGACTGTTTTGGGGTATATTACAACATAATCATGGTTTTCTGTACATGTACCTGTGTAAAATCTGCAAAAGTAGGCTTACAGGTTGCTACAATAGAATATTCCTTTAAAACTAGGAATAATATTTGCAAAGTTAATGCTCTTGCAAGACTACAAGACTTTAAAGCTAGGAGCAGATTCATAGATATGGTGTCAACACCGTGTGTGGAACAACAGTCTACACTTTTGAAAAAAACAAAAAAACAAGACAAGGCAAAGTCTCCTGGTAATAATATAGACATACTAGACCACAAACATCAGAAACATTGTTAGTATCTGACGTGACCCAGAGCCATTCAAATAGTCTCTAAAATACATAATGTTTATAAGGAAATACTTCTTTTATTTAAAAATTCAAACAAGTTACTCACATGACCTAAGACAGTTAAGTCAGCATTTCAAACAAGTGAAAACACAAAAAAAAAAACTCTATGGGAATACGACTGGAGCTGCTGTTTTTCTTATAGCTTTTTGTGCTGTTTGCAGTAAAACCTTGATAAGCTCTTAGTGCAGTCAAGAGTGTTAAAAATATATTATTGTTGGGAAGTAATCAGTAACAGAGCCAGAAAAGAGCTTCCTGTGTAAGCAGACTAACATGCCATACTGATACAAAGTACAGAGTTTAGCTTACTTTGTGGGTTCACACAAATATGTTTCATTCAGGAGTGCTGCAGGTTTTCAGCTACAAAAAGCAGACCACAATCATATGTGCCATGTTTACCATCACATTCTCCACATAGTTGGTGTGGTATCACACATCAGGGAACTCAATCTAGAAGAGAGATAACACACACAGAACTGTCTTAGAGCATAAAGGTAACATATTTAAATGATACAATTCACCAGTATTCCCCTTTAAACTGACTATACATTCTATACATTGCAACATCTTGTTTCCTCATTGACTCCTTCTTCAGGAAGAGTGTCGTCAGGCCTCTGAGGACCCCAACAGTCAAGGCCAGCATGTTACTCCATTTAATCATCTTCTTGACTTCATCAGAGATAAAGGTTCTGTGGCGTCACATCAGCATCAAGTCAGTACACCACTGTGTGATGTCAACCCTTTCCATTCAAACTTATCAATACTTTTTGCTAAACGTGTCTCTTAGCTTGTGATTCTACAACACATGTACCTTAAGTCGTGTTTTGGGTTGAGCTGCCAGTTTCTGTTTTCTTTGCAAGAGCTTCTGCCTCCCAAAAAATGGAGGTGCTTACATCCTTTCAATAGCATTCCTCAACTGACACATCTGGATCATATGTAGCATTTAGTGCAGAGCATTTAGAGAGATTTTCACTTCTGGGATTTCCAGAAGAGATTTTCACTTTCTCACAGGGGTTACAACATTAGGACGCCACGGGTCTTGTCCAGAAACTCTCAGGTCAACTGAGTCATGTATGAATCAGCTTTCGTCCCGCTGTCATCAAGAAAAAGTCACTTGTTGTTTGGTTGTAAGATAAAAACTCTTTGGAATGAGACAGGTTTTATATGACAAGTATGACAGCATGCAAACAACACCGAAAGCTGCACAAAGTGTCACCTGACCTCATAAGATACGATATAACATATATGATAATTGATGGTACCACTTAGGTATGCTTTTCCAGCCCAGACATCAATGCTCTTTCTTAATGGAACAGGAAATTGTCTCTTATTTCTTGTCTGTATCCATTAAGTCCTCAATCTGGGCCCAAGTACTCTGCGTTCTCCGCTGCCGGAATGTGTCCGTTGGCATGGGTCTTGAAGGTGGGAGTGAAATCCTGTTGGTAATCGGGGTTGTCTATGCTGTTCTGAGGCTGGTATTTCTGAATGCTGTGGACCGTGCCATTGGAGGTGAGCGGGAGGATGGCGGGGGATGGGACATCGTTGAGGTACTCGGGCCCGTCGGTCCCGTTCTTAAAGCAGTTCAGGTACTCTGACTCTGTGTTGTCTGAGGAGATGGTGGGGAGGAGGGTGCGAGGTGGACCGGGGTGCTGGTAGATGGGATTCATCACATCTGAGACTCCGTTCTGGTTCATATAGTCTGTAAGAAAGCCAATTACGTTAGTAACTAGACACTAGACAGGTTCCCATTAAAAGAATATGGGGTTATATGTAAAATTTAATTTTTAATGGCCCATAATGGTAGTTTTGGTTTTTAATTACTTTTTTTGTATTTTATTAGATAACTGATAGTAGAGTGATGACAAGATATGAATGAAGAGAGATGGGGAACAACATGCGATAGAGGTCCTTGGTCAGATGCAGCTTGGACGGGTTGTGGTTCATGGTTCGTGCCTTGAACTCTTTATTTGCTTAATTTTCTTCAAAGTTACATCCATGATAAGATAAGAGTTGTCTGATTGAAAACATTGAATGTATTTGCTATGTTCTTTAAAAAATATCAACCTCAAACAAAAGTGATCTATAAGTCTCCCAGTGAAAATGTTCTGTAATACAGTATCACTACAGGGTAACACTGAGGCTTGTCAATGACGCCAGTAAACTAATCACAGAGCCAAAGTGAAGCTCTTTGGGAACAGAGGGTCTCTCTATCACGAACAAACTTTCACATACACCGTTGCCCAGATTTGAAGCAAAACTCTATAGGATGACTTTGGCAACAGAGATCATATATAAGAAGTAATTTATCCACATGTAACACATTCTTTCTTTTCCTTAGGGTATTTTGTTAAATTTGTGTGTTGTACTTTATAACTTGGATTGTTTATGCTGTCAGATTGTCATTATGTATATGATCATTTTCCACTCTGACTGACAATAAAGTTGTGAATTATAAAAGGGACAATGTGAATTTAGTAGTTTCTTGCAATACAACGCTTTCTACTCAGGAGCTGACTCTCAAATCTGGGATACTAGAATTTTTATGAAGACAGAAAAACAACTCCTTAAACGTCTAATAAAAGTGGTTAGCAATAATACATATTTGATGTTCTTATGGTCATGGGAACAGCCACAATCCTGCATGTATTCATTTTAAATTGCCCACTAGAGCCACCGAGCCTAAAGATTTATGTACTAGTGGTATTGTGAAAGCAGTGAAAGACAAACTGCACCAAAAGTTTGGCAGCACGTGTTCTTCAGTTGGGGCAATAAGGACAGCAGTATGCATGATGTCCACTAGATGTCCCCCTTCCTTACTGAATCAAATAGAGGGACCAGGGGAGAGTGCCACTGAAATTTACTTGAATGACATCAAAAAGAAGAGACACTGGGGGCTTTTGAAGTCGGAGGATACTTGCCTGGAGCTGGCTGGAAAGCATTGTCTAAAAGTTTGTCTGTGGGGTCAGGAATGTACCGGAGAACCAAGCTTCCGTCTCTGCTCGGGAAACCATTCTGTAACAAAGGACAGATGTTTTTAGGGCTGTGGCACTCTGAGAATTTTTTTTTTTTTTTTTACAAATAATTCAAAACAAAGATGAAAGTAATTTTCTGTAAGTGCAATTTAAAGGCTGTTCACTCACCAGTAAGCCATTTCTACTGTGGCATGTTCCAATGCTGCTGTTGAGGCTCTGCAAAATAGATCATTTAAACTTGAGTTAATGTCTCATGATGACACTACAGCAAATGCAGAGGCGGAAACAGTGTTTTATAGAGCCATAACACATTTGAATATGCCACTATCATCCATAAAAGAGACATTAAGTGAAGAAACAGGCATTTCCAGAGCAGTGCACAAACACAAAGTTGGTCTGCTATGCTCATTTTCTGATTTAGGCGCAACCTTTAATTTTGTCATCTTTCACTTAGGATGTCTTTGATTCCAACTTACTTCTTTTATTTATAGTTTGATGCGAGTGTAATTCTCTCAGTCATTGCAATTTATTTTAAAGCCTCTCTGGGGACAATAAGTTTGTTTTTAATAGTGATAGTAATGTTTTTTCATGGTACCCGAGGAACCATGGCTGTCATCCCAATACAAGCTGATGAGGATCGAAATAAACGTCCACTGAGCAGATTCATATTCATTCAGGCAAACTGACGAGCTTTGTTGTGTCTGTCAGACTCTCCAGTCAAAGGACTGTGAGCGCCGTTATACCAGTGAAACCGAGCGAATAAAGAGAAGAGAGTGACAGCTGTGGCAATGCAATTACTTTCAACAAGAAAAGGAAATTAAACACGCTGAAGGAGCAACCATCTGTAAAAAAAAAAAAAAAAAAATTTCGACCCTGAGTGGCCCATGCCTCAACTGTGATATGACAAAAGCAGGCGTATGCTGAGCTTTTATTGGACAAAGATTTGAAACAGTTCGCCTGGTTGCCTGCAAAGGCAATCAAACCTGAAAGCTCAGTATGGGCTAACCATGGGCTGTGAGTGGCCGGCAACTATCCCAGGTAGAAGAGCCAGACCTATACATGGCCTTCACCGAACCCGAGGTAGAAGAGTTCTCTTTGTTCCTCTCTCATCAATCAAAGGGCACCTGGGAGGAAACGTGGGAGAGGGGACGATGATGAGGACGAGTGGGCAGGGGTCAGGAAGAGGAGAAATAGTCCCAGTGGTGAAAGTTAAACAGTATGAGGGCAACCGGGGTCGGAAGGGTTCAGGCCAGGTACGACCGGTCACTCAGGTTCAAGCGAGGAAAATGAGTTCAACTCTCCTCTCTGTATGATCACCCAGATTCAGTTAAACAGCCAGTGTTCTGCTTCTGCTGATTGAAGTGAAAGCTAATTGCTTTCAACAAGCTAAAAAAAAAAAACTGCCTCTGCCTTTATTTCCATTCTGACTCACAGGGTAATGATTTATGCAGAAATCCCAATTTCCCAAAACACGGTTAAAATAGCACAATTAAATTTCAAACAGTTGACTGCATGTCGGTGAAGTGTGCACTAACTGCTGAAGCCTGTGCTACAATTTCTTCAATCAATGAATGCTGCTTTTTTTTTTCTGGGAAATTTTACTCCAGAGCAGCTGGTATTCCTCTTTCAATGTTTGGATAGAGAAGGTTAGTGTGACTGAATCTGGCGTGTGTGTCTGCAGTTAAAGGTATCTGTGCCTCATTACATGTGCCGATTCACTTTTTTTTTTTTTTTTTTTTCAGTTAGCTCCACACCGGTGGAAAGTTCACAGTATAAAATACTGTGACAATATTCTGGCTCAGGATCTCAGATTTCTGTTTTTTTTATGATTAGAAGTGCATGTGATGAGCCAGGCCCACAGCTGCTATACTTCAACAACATAACTAGCTGTATCCTAGTATTTTCTTATCTAGTGGGCCTTTTGTTGACATGAAAGTACTGTCAAATACTGTATATACTGTATAGTGTATACAGTATGTGACATCTTGCACTTTTTCTTAATACTTTTTTAGTTTTTAAAATGAATGATAAAACTTGGTTGATCTTGCAACATTCAGAACAGTAGTTTCTTAGATAGCACCTCTGAATTGAATCTTCTGACTACTACCTGCAGCGCACTGTCAGGCCAATTTGTATTTGTACAATTAGTAACACTTTAGGTGGACGATCATACAAAATATCTTGTTTTGTTCATAGCACACGAGGATGCATTTTCAGTAACACTACGCCACCTTGTGGAAGTTGCACACACACAGGCAGTAGTCTTTTTCTGTTTTAAATGCTTGACCACAAAGCAGAAATGAGTCACCCCTCCCTGTTATTCTGAAATATCAGCAGTGGTATTGGAGAAACATTTTAGTTTTTCATTTTTAGTCTTTTTGTGCAAGGATGCCTCATTTTTCTCAGCTCAGTCCTGCTACCACAAATGTCACCTGACACAGAGAGGCAGAGGGGACAGACACACCCAATCCCAAACTTGTGAGTCTGTCTTTCTTTCATGACGTAGCTTACCATGGAGTGGAGCAGTGGCGTGTGGGAGGTGCTTGGACTGCTGAAGAAGCCGTGCTGTGGCACCAGATACTCGTCTGCATCCACAGCATCCTCCATGTCCTCCCCACTGATCAGGCTGCGGTAGAATTTAGTGTCTGTAGGACTCGGCAGGTGCATGCAGTCATCACCCTGGCGCAGAAAAAGAATTGACCTCTTACCTCTGCTTTTTTGTTTATCATAAGTTATAGCCATTCATCAAATAAACTGCAGATTTAAGGAAGTTAACCAAACTCGGGGTAAAATTTTACCTGAATGACAAGGTAACGGGAAGGATCACGTGCCATCTTTGTAAACTCAGCTATAAGTTCCCGGAAACGAGGTCGGCTATCTGCATCAATCATCCAACCTGAACAGACACATCAGAATATATTATCAACATAAGTTGACTTAGTAAGTTAAAACTTTTACCACTCTCTGTGAGGACTCTGGTAGAAATTAACTGCAACACAACTGCTTGCTTCAGTACATGTATTAAAAAACTCACAAGAAACGTATAAAGTTGGATGAATGACTTATTATATTCACTATAAAAGAATCTGCTGAATGTCTCGATTAACTGATTTGGTCTATAAAACGTGTGAAGCACTTGGGGCTTTGTATGAAAGTGCTATATAAATAAAGTTGTATTGAGTTGAAATGTACAAAAAGGATTAAAAATAATGCATTTCATCAAATACTTAGCAATAGCATACAGTATGTACACAATGTTCCATCGTGTTCTTGTTCCGGTAGGGAAAAACAGAAACAGAGATTATATTATGGAGGTTTCAGCCAGCCTCCCACTGATCTTACATTTCACCATGATCATGTAGACATCTATGGTACAGATTGGAGGCTGAGGCAGTCGCTCCCCTTTCTCCAGGACCCCAGCTATTTCACTGGCAGGAATCCCATCGTACGGTTTGGTCCCAAATGTCATCAGCTCCCAAACCGTTACACCTACAGAGAGAAGGGACAGTTGGTATGTGTCAGTCTGATGAGCTGTCATTCACTTTGTTTTTCTTCCAATAACAAGGAAGAAATGAGAGTGACAGAATGCAAGCTTCTCAAATATCACATGGTATCAAAATAGCTATGTTGACAAATTGGCTGTGCCTGCAGAAGTGGGAGTGAGCAGGATGCATCTCTGTGCTGGCGGAACTGAAGAAAGGAAAAGGAGGAAAGGAAGCCTGTCACTTCTGCCAGGGTCTGTTGATGCTTTTGCCATATTGAGCGGAAGGCATGATCAAACCCTCGGGAACAGACGATTTGGAAGCTGGCCCATTCAAGAAAGCTGTGCTGTGTTTGGCTTCCGTGTGTGTCCGTGTAGGCATCTGTGCATGTGTGTGCTCCTGGGCTGGAGGAACTGTCTATGTGGGTTGAGGAAACAATCTCGTCTGACGTGATATTGTCCATCTGAGACTGCTGGTGTGTAGGTGTGTGCTACCTGTGTCCTAAAAATCACAGATGCTAGCAAGATATTCTTTCTTTTTCAAAAATGTTGACAAGTCTCATTACATCCAAAAACAACATCCTCTCTGAAGCCTCAAAACGACCGTCCTCTCTCCACCTCATTCACTGTTAAAACACTTTATTTAGCAATGAATAAATATTTCTCCTGCGAGACTGTCACCAATACTCAGGAGTACAGAGGCCCAGCTGTTTTACATATCTGATGTTACACGAGGACTCGAGCGCAATCTGGGACACTGCAAGCAGGGGTTCACGCTGGGTTAGAGGTAGATCATGTATTCACAACATAAAGAGAAAGACTTACCATAACTCCACACATCACTCTGATGTGTGTACGTCCTGTTCAGGATAGATTCAAGAGCCATCCACTTTATCGGTACCTGTGAAATTAAAGTTTAATGAGTCAAATAGTTCCGAAAATGCAACATATGTTTGTATTTAATTAGTCAAATTAGTATTGCAGCTCTTCCTTAGATTGAAATCTGTTCATGTCTACAATGTAACTGTACTGTCACCTAGTGGTGCAGAATCACAACAGTCACACATATACGAAAATCCACCTTTTATTATTTATTGTTACTGAAAACTTTGACATTTAACACTGATTTCTATTTTTCAAAATGTCAACAAGGTTCTTTGTAGCAGAGTTTGCACTTTACAGGAGATGAGAAGCGGTGTGCTGTCATCACACAAAGTGCGTCACACAAAGCTTAAAAAATGATTTCTGGGATGGTTTCCTGCACAAGGATTAAGTCCAGCCCCACACTGAAGATGTTTTTTAATGGATGTCTCTACTCAATTTTGTGTTAGTATAAGACAAGGCTTAATCCCTGTCTGGGAAACTGTCCTGTAGTCGTTAATTAACACTATTTTTCAGAGTAGCGATGCATTTAACTAGAATGAATGAAGGAAATATCAGCAGCTGCAGAGTCCAGCTTTGTCCAGATGGATTCTGAAGAACTAAACTTCTTTACATCTGCTCTTCTGGTGTGGACAGGCAATAAAATGCCTGGACTGAAACTGAATATTGTATCACATTAAATTATTATATCATCACTTCTGAGAACATATTGAGGTAATAACATCAGGCAAAACCATCAGTAAATATGTTTTTACCAGGACATTTTGCCATATTACTGGATTTTTGGGATTAAGTTTAAAAAAAAAAACTGTGTTATTATATAATGGTGAGGATAATTTGGTTCTACACAGTTTTCTGTGAGAAAATTGTGCACAAAAGAACCTTGATAAGAGAAGGAACTTATCTGATCTGTCATTTCTTAGAACATAGTCAACTGACCGAACTATTTATATACCACATCACTTACATAAGATAAAATCTAGAGCAAACCTACAAATGCAAAAAATACCATCTTTCATTCAACTACAGGAAAACATCTGTCTCTCCAGCACCCAATCTGTAACAAGCTATAAATACACAAATAAAGTCTTAGGGACTGTTTGTGACTGTGTGCAACAACAAAATGAAAATTCTGGTGAGAGGCACAACCTTTGTCTTAGTGTATTTGTACCAACCTTTCCGCCATCAGCGTGGTACTCTTTCTCATCTGCGTTGAGGAGCTTGGCCAGACCAAAGTCAGTGATCTTGACATGTTGCGGAGTCTTCACCAGAACGTTTCTGGCTGCCAAGTCACGGTGTACCAAGTGGCGCTCCTCCAGGTAGCTCATACCCTTTTGTCAAACAAACGATGAAGTGCAGGTTATTACGTAAGTGCAGTGCTTTTTGCACGAGCTGTCCGATATGTCATAACATGGGAGCTTTGCTTGATCTGAATATGTAAAGGTGCTGAAATCTGTCATGACAGGCTTGTCACCATCACCTCATGTCGTTCAACAATGTATCGAAACAGTTAAAGGCTGTGTGCACTGTAGCGACTGCTAAAAAAAACAAAAAAAACAGCGTAACTTGCATTGTAGGAATGCACAGTTATAAAAAATAATAAACTTTATTCGTACAGCACCTTTCATACAAGAAAAGCAGCTCAAAGTGCTTTACGACAAAGAAATGACTCGCACCAAGTGCTCCGCGTGAAAAAGACAATAAATGAACATAACAAAATGTGAAAGACATTAACGCAAAATAAGGTTGTTTTTATCTTGCGCTCTGCATTTCTCTAAAACCTACAAAGACATGGTATAATCAGTTTTGTTATTGAAAGTAAACAGCGTTGAAAAGTTCAACTAAACTATACTAAACACAACCCGAGTAGGACACAGGTAGCAAATATTGAACAGACCCTTCCATGTAACTTGATGCCTTTACAGTGTTTCTTCTTTTCTTACCTTGGCTATCTGAACACACCAGTTGAGCAGGTGCTGGGAGCCTATATTGTCCTTGTTCTCTTTGACATAGTCCAGCAGGCAGCCGTAGGGCATCAGCTGGGTGACGAGCTGCACCGTGGAGGTCAGGCAGATGCCGAGCAGACGACACACATGGGGGTGTTCCACACTGGCCATCACATAAGCCTCCTGTAGTGTGCATGTAGACATACAAATGAGTTGAGCCTTTTTTTTTTTTGGCAGTGTATATATCTTTTTTTTGAGGTGGCCAACCAACAAAACAACTCCCTTCTCTAGTGAATGGTTTAAAGAATGACTGTATTTCATATTGATGCATTTAAGACGAAAAAGAAATCATTCACTTAATCAATATTGATGGAATTATACACATTTATCCCAGAAACTGATAGCCTGAGAAACACAACATTTGTGGAAAGTCCAGTGTTGAGCGATCAGTTTTTTTTTGGTTTTTTTTTGGAACAGGCATATCAGTCATATTTTATGTGGCTAGCTGAGAGTGGAAACTCTCATTCATCATATCAGAAAAGTGACTTAGAGAGGAAACCATGGGGATAATCCACACTGGCCACCAACAAAAGGCTTCCCACAAGGAGACCTTTGCAAACAGCACTTCAAACCTAGCTTTATTTGGTAGGTTTCCTGCCATGAGTGAATTAATTGTATCCCAAATATTTTCCATGTTTCTGTAATAGACATGGAAAATATTTGAGATACAATTAATGCACTCATGGCAAGAAACCTACTAAATAAATCAGCATTATTCATTAAATAACCACTTCATTGCAAGGAGCTCTGTAATTCTGACAGTCTGAGAAAGAGACATCAAAGCAGTTTTTAAAAAAAAAAAAACCTTTCTCCTTTAAAAAGCAAGACTCAGCGGTCATGAGGACGTGCGTATCCAGCACAACATCCGGATGTGCAGTGACTGAGCAACGCAACCACAAAATCACAGGATCTGAGATGCACATTCAGCCGTTTGTAAAACGCATTTCAAGCAGGCTGACTTCTCAGCGTGGCTCCAGGACTGCATTCCTTTCCAGAACACCTCAGCCTTGGATTACACACCAACACCCACACACAGCTTTCCAATGAATAAATCCCATTCCCATCAGCCTATAAGAGGGTCACCGTGTAGAAACATGACACATTCTCCGTTAAAAGGAAAATAGGCTGCTACAGGTGCTACAAATGACAGGATACATTAGTGAAATCGACATCTGGCAAGGAATAATTGTCACTCACTCTTCTCTGCCTTTTTAATCAAATCACAATATTGTGATAATTACTAAAAAAAAAAGAAAAAAAAAAAAAAAGAAAAAAAGGTGTTTAGAGTTTCTAACTTTCATATTTCCGCTGCCATTTCCCACAAGCAGCACACCCTTCACTGGAGTGGTTTGGGAAATAACATTTTAAATGAATCGCTGCTTTAGTTCTGACTCAGTATTACTGTAAGCTCAGTCCAAAAAAAATACCACATAAATCAGTGAACCTACGTCCAAGATCTCTTTGTTTGCTTTTGGTGATGTGGCCTCTCTCAAAACCTTTATGGCCACTGGGATCTTCACGTCCTCTCCCTCTGGAACCCACAGGCCCTGTATGGACATAAGTGTGTTATTTCACAGGCTTTAATCACACCTGAATCATCAAGGGAACACAAGTGCATACATACAAATGTTAGTATATACAGTATAATTGCAAAGGTTGACGTTCATACAGTGCACCCAAACACTTTGTATTCTATACTTGTGAGGACCCTAAACCCAGCGGGTGGAAAATAACAAAGTACATTTACTTAGGTTCTGTTTTGAGGTACTTTTACTTTGAATTTATGCTACTTTCATACTCCTCTACTACATTTCAGAGGGCAATGTTATATTTTTTAGGTATCTGACCACTCTGTTTTACTTACAAAACATATGACGAGTTAAAATGTTGCATTGTCTTAGAATAAAATACCCAACAGTAAATAAACTAGTTAAATTTAGCTCCACCTAAATGAGCTAAAATGCTGCTTACACCTAGATAATATAATATAACACTCTGACAGGGTCCAATCTGTCACCTAATGCTAATATTTTTGTACTTCTACTTCTATGTCACTACTTCTTTCACCACTGAATGAACCTAGCCTTAACCGTCACAACTAAATACCAAACCCCAACCCGAACTCAACCCTAAATCCAACCCTATAACCAAGTCTTAACCCTCAAATAGCCCTTTGGAAAAAATGTTCCTTACTTTCCAAAATTGTCCTCACCCTCAAGGTCTAAAACTGCAGTTAGTCCTCTCAGAGACAGAAATCCAAGAGCACAGACACACACACAGAGTTGTTTTTGTACTGTAAGTAAGAACATTGTGTTGACCTACATCCTCTCTCTGTGGAGAATTATCCCAACCTTAATCTTAAACTGACCCTAAAATAAACTTTGAACCTCATGGAGATCAGCTTTTTGTCTGCATATATCCCCACAACGACACTGTGTGAACATGTATTGTGATTGTGATTGTGAAATTGTGATTAATGAATGAATTAAATATACACACAGAGCAGGAGAGAGCTCTAAAAGAGAGAGTGAAGTCACTCGTGCGTGATCTGGCAAGTCAAAAATGTGTCTTTTAATTGAAAAATTGACGACAGATGCGCGAGAACACTGACGGGTGTTGGTCATGTAGACTTGGCTCATGCACTATTCCTGAGCTCCAGCTTGTGGAAAACTCAGCACTGCAGTGCAATTTGGAAAACAAGGTGTTTTTTACACACAACCCTGAGGCGTGTTGTTACCTTATAAACTGTACCAAAAGCCCCTGATCCCAGCACTTTGATTTTCTTAAACTCTGGCTCTTTCAGGATCCGCAGCAGAGCCTGGTTCGGTGCCTCTCCACTTGGAGTCAGAGGTTCGACCAACTGGAAAAAAAAAAAAAAAGGACTGAATGTCTTACAATGTCTTACCTCAAAAACAGCACCAGTGATTGGTTAACAATGCACTCTAGCGAGTCAATACTCAATACAAAATACCATAACAATCTAATACTGAAGAAGACCGTAAGATATTAAAAACTGTAATCTCTGCATACTGTACTCTACAAGCATGGTATCTCACTTCCCTCATCTTACCTCTCTCTCTTGGAGCAGTCTGCGCATTGTCCTCTTCCTCTTAATGTGGCGTCGGCGTAGCAACACGAAGACAGACAGGCCTGCAATAAGAACAGCCAGCAGCCCACCAACTACACCAGCTGCAATCATGGAAAGACCAGAAGAGCTGAAAGACAGGTGGGAGTCGATTTCAGACCGCAGATAGAAACCAGAGCACATTTGTGAATTGAATCAACAAGGAGAGATGAGATTAGAGTGTCGAACTTAGGCAAAGCCAGTGTATCCTTAAGCACTGATGAACACTGTTACTGCATTTACTCACCTTTTAATCTGGCAGCCTTCAAGACCAGGACCAATGCACCTGTAAAGAAATCAATGCAAAGAATCTGATGTAACTATACTGTTACTGTGCCTTCACACTACAAATTCCCCAAACCATCATAAGTCGATTGATCTCCTACAAAGTTAAACACATTTAGGGAAATGCTTTGCAATCGGTGTCCACCAATCACTGTTGCCACACCTGTTTGATTTCACGAAAAACCGCTCTGCTGATTACAGCCAATAAAAGCTCTCTGGAATATATTATGAGTCTATAAGACTAAATGTATAAATCACATTTGTGAATACCACAATTTTATGATTAAAATCTGCATGAATGGGGGGGGGGGCAAATGTTATTGAATTCATTTATTGATTCATGTGATCAATCTCATAACAGAAGCCGTGACTTCTTGATTTAATGGCTCTCCAGCCTCTACTTCAAAAGAACACAAGAGGACAATGACCAGTTGATACATTTCTTTATTTGGACTCAGACTACAGAGTAAATGCAATGTCTGATAACCATCAAGATGAAAGTAATAAGTAGCAGTAGTAGTAATAAGTAAAATGAACTGTGCGATGAGTTGGCAATCGTAGGAGAGAATATGTTACGGCTTATTACACTACGGCTATACGACTTCTTTGCGACATGTTGCGTGTTATATTATGTTGTCTTGTGTCATGGATGTGTCTTGCAGGAGGCTCTGCATAGAAGCGCTCTTTCTACTTTACTACCTGATAAATCCTCCACAGTGTTCCCCATTCATCCCCTAAATCTGTCCACCAGAGTTTCATAACGAGCCGAAGATTTAGTCACACTTCCCATCGTGTAACGTAAAATATTTCTAACATTGTGATTTGTGCCGTTACATCACCAGCGCGTTGATTCGCTCAGCCCTTCTTTGTCCCTCAGGACACACAGAGCTGCTGCCTGTGTCAGGCCTGGGCTCACTGGTCAGTCACAATATATAATCAACTGACCGCAAACAGAATCTAACTCTGTGTGCAACACTGTGCCATTATAATAGCAATACGCCAAGGTGCAAGTGCGCCTGGCTTTTAAAGGGAATGTGAGATGGCACTGTGATTGGTTTATTGGATGTTACGCCAAAAACACTCCCATGAATAATTGGGAGATTAAGTGCAACCCATTTGAATCATGCGCCTGATGCCACGTTTTTTTTCACTGTTTTAAATAGCAAAAGTGACACGGACACGCCCTAAATGCATGTACGCCAGGAGCTTCAGACCATGTGCTTCTGATCATTAAAATAGAGCCCAATAAGTCCTTTTGATGTTACTTTTCTTATATAAGAAACGATCACATACCAATACAGAGGCAGTCATATTGTTACAAAATGGAGATTTAAATTATTTTCTCCAATTTGCCCGGTTGTCCATTCGTTGATCCTCTGGAGCTGACCCTTTGTTGTGCATCTCTCTGACATGCTAAAAAGCCCGTCTGTTTATGAGAGAAGGGTCCTTTGTCTCCGTTTCCAATCAATTTGATAGTTTGATGATGGGAAGAGTAAGAAAATGTCAATTCGGCATGTCCTTACTGTGAACTTCTTTAATGGCTTGTGACTGATGCCAGACCAGGTATGTCCACTACACCAGTGATGTAGCTATGAAACACAAAACTAGTAAAAGAAAATCAGGACTTGTTAAAAGTTGCACTGGACAGTTGCAGAGACCTATTGCACACACGGTGTCCCCAAACCACTTCCTTCCGCAACCATCAACGATCACCATGGCTGACTGTTGATAGTCCACCACTCTGAACACATTAGGTCTGATTTCATTCCTGTTAAAGTTATTATTGCTCTGCTATATAATGCAGATGTCTATCCATTCAAAACTGAAATGAATGGAGATTAATGGGAGCCTAGAAAGTGCAAAAAAAATAAAACACTGAGGAAACTACAAAGCCATGGTATGCTTTGGAGAAATAATTGGATTTGTTTACAAGAAAATGCTATGGTGCTTTAATCTTAGTCCATAACAAATCTCCTAAATTGTTCAATTTCTACATTTGCCTCATGTTTAAAATTCGCTTCTCTCCAACCCGTGAACCACAGCCGACCCTACTGGCTTACACAAAGTTACTGCATCAAAATTACCACAGACAAATGTTTGCAACACAGGGACGTGTGCTGCCAGTTCTCAGGTCGAAGGAGCATTGCTTTTACCCTTGAGTGCAGTTCTTGTGGCATAGCTGGCACACTTTCATCTCATCTGCGTATTTCCACACTAGCGCGTCGTCCTCTCCTGGCACACCTTGGGGACAGCGAGACACACAGAACAGTCCATCCTTGAAGCTGCCACACTTAGTACAGTTTCCAGAACCCTGAAAGTAAAAAAAGAAAAAAAAAAGAATCATGTTTACAACCCTCTTGAGAGGAGTAGTAAATATTATGTAAGCTGCACTGCCTTTTAGTAGTAATTTCTCAAAGAAAGTTGCATCTCTCTTCCTCATAAAGATGCCAGTGTTAAGGCAATGAAAACCACACATTCATGTTATGGGCCTCAGTTTAGGCCAGTACAACTCCTCCAGTCCACTGCTAAACCTATTGCAATCAAATGCTGTAATTTGATACTTTCACTAAAACTCCCTCATTATCAACATGTCTACTTCTATATTTGGCTGCATTGCATTATGGTCTATCAAGGCTGCTGCTGATGGAGAAATCAGTAGCGCCAACTCTTCTGGAATGGATTTCATGCTGCGTAATTGTTAATCTGCAGTGCTCTTTGATTCTGAGTGACTGACACAAAAACATGACATTTATTGTTGACATTCAAAGCTGTTTCACAAGATTTCTGGGGGTTTTGTTTTTTTTTTTCATGGATGTTTGCAATGACAGTTTAGTTGTCGGTGAGACACATACAGGCGCACTGCAGGTTGCAGTCCCATTCATGCGCTGACACTCGGGGTGACACTCCATGCAGGTTTTATTCACAACTGCCTCCCGTGGCTCTCTGCAAAAACCAATAACAAAGCACCTCATTTCAAACAGTTACATGTGAACTGAAATTCTTGATCCCTTCTTTGAGGGCAGAAGTTAAATTGTAAGCATGTCGAGATTCAATGTTTGACAGAGACCTTGACAGAGATCTGCAAAGATAAACACACGCCATTTCAGCTACACTGTTTGTCTTATATCTACTGGAGGTTTAACTTCAAAATACCTTGGATCAGATTTGGTCTTAGCGTTGCTTTCAATAACAAATCCCCAAACTCGTCCAATGTCACAGTCTAGAAATGCTCATGGTATGAAAATAGACTTTGGAGGAGTTAACAGCAGAGAACACAGATCTGATGTTCAGGCTGTTTGTTTGTCTAAAATAAGGATCACTGCATTTCAGAGCTTAAAAAAGGGAGTAAAACCCAGATTCCTCCCTTACCCCTCAAGGATGTTGCAGGAGTCAACACAGCTCCCATCACGGCTGTAGTCACGGCAGGCGAAACACATGTCTGGGCCAGGACCCCAGCAGCCGCCTATGGTACACTTCCTGTCACACGTGTTGTTACTCAGAGCTGAAAACAAACATATAATCTGAAGAGAAGATCTTTCCCACATAATTATCCAATTCTGAAATTAGACTCGGTTAATTAAATCCAGCTCGTGCATTGAATAATCACATGTTACACAACAAAACAACAAAAGGACCTGACTGATTTAGGTGTGGGAAATGATATTCAGTTTACCACATGTGGTAGCATGAGCATTTTCCTCCACAGTGGCACTTTGGCTTTCCGATTTGAAGAGCCCCTCCCAGTGGCTTTTATTGGTGTAGCACAGGTTGCGGTTCTTCACGATGACCACGTCGCCATCACTGATTTCTTTGAGCGAGCGAAGGCCCAGGTAGCTGATATCGAGCTGAGTCATAACCACACTGCGGCTTCCACTACCAAAGGAAAAAAGGTGGAGCAGGAAGAGAAGAAAAAAGGAAAGATTTAATAAGAACAGTTGGTGTTGAACTGTTGTTCCTTGTGATCCAGCGGTCGTGAATCCTCAGGGGGTCTTTACAAAGGGACATACCGTTTAGTTCGTCCTCGAATGATCTCCAGATTCTCAAAAGGACTGAGTGAGTTCATGCTCGTTGGCCATGTTTGAATCCACAAGTACCCTGAAGCAACAAATGGTTTGTTAATTGTGAAACTCCTTAGTGTGCCATTTAGTGCGTCATGCATTACTCAGCTCTTACGCAGGCTTACCAGTAATTTCTTTAACTGTCTTAAACACATCAAGCTGGGCAGGATCCATCTTTGGTGTTTTGGTATATGTATCCCTACAAAATTAGAAAATACATGTTTGTTTTTATTGGTAAAGGTGCCCAGTGATCTATTGCAGTTGATACAGGTGATATAGGTGGGCATGAAGTCCGCAAGTGCTGTTCCTTACCCATGAATTGAGGTGTGGATGATAGCAATGTTCCCATTGATTTTGGTGCAGTTTTTAAAGGAGTCAATGTTGGTGGCATTGATAGACAGGGTGTGAGTCAGGTCTCCCGTTCCAAGACCATTACACACTGCAAACCATGAAGAAAACAAAAATCAGTACAGAAACTATTTCAAAGCTCTTGAGATTATTCTGATCGTGGGAATAATCTAAACCAGAGTGAGCAGGGCTTTTAAGAGGAGGCAAACTGTGTCTAAAGTAGTATTCAGACCATTAACTGAAGTAAAAGAAGCAATTCCACAATTCAAAATTAAATGAATAAAATGTACTTGAAGTATTCATTATGCCTCCGGTATGTTCCCCTTGGATTATTATTAGTGATACATTAACATGAAAGTAGCATTAGCATGTTGCTGCTGGGCAATGTGGAGCTAATTCTAACAATTTCACATGCTATTCGATAGTTTATCTATATGAATGTGTCATATTTAATTACATGAATACACGGCTTGTGTCTTGCAGCTGCCTTTGAATTGTAATAAACCACAGGACTCAAGTAAATGTGTTTAGTTACATTTTATCACTGTAAACTGTGTTATGCATATGAGTCAGGAAGAGTCCCCAGGTTGCACAGAGAGACAGCTCAACTCCCTACCTTTTGGACACAGTCCATCACACTTTGCACACTTCCTGATTCCTCCCTCGTCCACCTCATATGTGTTACCACTGCATGTCCGCACACAGGCTCCATGATCAGTCACAACATAGTTATCTGGAATCATTGCAAAACACAAGAAATCAAATCACACCTAAATGTACTTTTCAGCCATAATAACTTGCATGAGTTATACCACCAGTATCACTACAGGCACATAATAACACTGCAGGCTATACAGTTCAGTATTGACTGAGTAATACTGGGAAAGACCTGTAGAAGTTAAACTGAGAGAGAACAGTTCTTGCATTAACACGCCCTGAAACTCAATCATTTTCTTTCCTTGTTTATACAGTTTATAATTAAACTGCAACTGTGCACTGTAACTACTGAATGTCTAACAACCCTGAAGGACGACCCGGGCACTTGTTCAGCATACCACAATGTGAAAGAGCTCGTAATCATGCATGATAAGTTTCACATTGGCCAGTGAGGCCGACTAGTTTTATTTTATTTATCTTGACTGTCAAGGCAACAGCTACTGCGCACTAATAAATATATCAGTGTCTAAGAGGACAGAAACTTCAGGAACAATTTTGGCTAACAAATACCAAAGAACTGAAAATAAGTTTGTCTGTTTAGTCAGTCTTACGTGGGCAGCTCTTGACACAGGTGGCCCCGAAGTTGTACTTTCCATGTGGGTTAGGTACCAGCTGGTGCAGGTTGGGGTCGTAACGCATGAGGCCCGGGCAGGAGTCCTTACACACCCCGTCATCCTGGAAGTCCCGGCAGGCCTGCAGCACAAACAACAGTCATCCAGTACACAGGGACCAAGTCACACTAATGATAACACCGCATTCCTCTATCACAGGCTTGGCTTAATCCTCAGAACTGCACAGAGAAGAGGGAGAGCAGACGCTGATACTCCAGGCACTGCCAAATGAAAGATTTAATCAGCAGTTATGTGTCTCATTGGTACTGAAACCAATAATAACACTTCTGATCATAAAAACAGATGCTGCTGAGTGAGGGCTTTGTTTTGTTGGAGGCTTCTCATCCAAATTTAAAGCAGAAGTATGAAACATTCAGTTTATTCTGTTGTTCATGCTGCTCTGTTTCCCAGCTCCTTGATCATATCATTAGTCGTGTCCCGCACATGACGGCGTCTTTCTCTCACCAGACAGTCGGTGGGCCGCGGTCCTGTGCAGCCCGCAGCACAGTGCTCATTACAACAGTCGCTTGGTGACGGTCCTTTGCATCTCTTCGAGCACTGCTGTGCACAGTTCAGCTTTGTTACTGGAGAAAAGAACAAGAAAAAGTCAGTGGAGTGACCAGTAGCAGCAAGTTGTTTTTCATTTTTCATTTTCAGGCCTTATTAAAGCTGTGAAGAATATTTCCTGACAAGTTTTTCGTGTTTCACCACACCATATACAGGATACTGTGAACTAACCACGATAAATCAACTTAAACACGTTCCAGATTTCAGCTTTAATACAGCGTATGCACTTGAGTTCTTTAATGGTAAAATGATAACACAGATCAGAGCTTACAAGTCTGGCAATTTTCAGGCCCAGGAGCCCAGCATGAACCATTGAAGCAGCTTGAGTCACATGTGTTACCTGTAAAAAAAAAAAAAAAAGACCACAATAAACAGTCAAATGTTTACTTCACACCCTGCAAATTCTTTATCAATGCACAATGAATGACTTTTGCAGCCTTCGTCTTTTGCTGTAAAATGTGTTACTTACAAAGTGGATTTTTGCTAGCCACTGGGAGCTCCATGCTGGGATGGTTGTCAGCGTTGACAATGTCATACCACTGTATTGTATCCACGTTGCACAGCTGGTTGGTCTGAAACTTTACACCTCCTTTAAGAATTTCTGCAAAATAATGTCAATTGAATAAAATGACACAGTTAATTTTACAACAGGCCAAGATTGAAATATTTAGATTTTTATTATAACACAAAGATTCTATAGAAAATATTCTGCCATAGAAAACTTGAAAATGCGGAGCTGGACTGACCTGTCAGGCTGGTCAGAAGAAGCTCTTGGGTGCCCTGACCTGCAGGTTTGTCATAATTGGCGAGAACAGAAAGGGCAAACGCTCCCTCATAGAGGGAATGACCTCGAATGATGCGCAGGTTCTCCAGAGGAATCCTGGGAGCTGTGTTGAGGGCGATCAGGACGTAGCCGCCCACTTCTTCAATTGACTGTGGAAGGAAAAAAAAAGAGAATAAAAAAGCTGTTTGTTGTGGACTCAGGTATAAATGTGCAATGCTGTTGAGCTGAAAACACACATTTATTATTAAAGGATAAATATTTGGTTTCAGAACTGGGTAGGCAATGAAGTTAGAAAGCAACAGATGAAATGAAATAAAAATAAAGACTGAACTTATGTGAAGGTTATTTCCTGCATATCTGTATAAACCTTAGGACACTATATGGTGAAACTGGTAATCCCTAACAATTGTCATGTAAATGTAATGACACATTGTCACTTTTAAATCACAATACAGATTAAAGGAAGTTGTTTTTTGTTTTTTCAGCCCTGACTGTACTAGTCATCCTCCCAGGCTGCACATGGCCCCATCCAGCTCCACCACTCTGAGGGTTAGGGCAGTAATGTGTGTAGAGAGGTGAAAGTCAGGGCCAAAAAACAGCTATTATGACAGCTGAGCAGGTAGAATAAAAAAAAAAGAAAAAAAGAAAAGAAAACAGTGAAGAGGGAACAAAAATAGGATTTTTAAAAATAAGAGGGACACATCTCCCCCCACCATCCCCAATGGAAACTCCGTCCTTGAAACTCCTGCATGATATCTGCTGACTGCATGTTATTTCTGTTTGTGTGTGTGTATGTGTGTGTGTGTGTGTGTGTGAGTATGTGAGTGTGTGTGGTCCCTCATAACATCTGCCCAGTGTTCACAACCTTGTCGTTGCAGCTGGAGTTCAAGCAAAGCTCCAAACCAGAGGGTTAGAAACGCGCTGAATCATCTGCCACTACGGACTCACTCACTCTCCGTGGATTTTAATTATCTGAACCGGAGCGATAAGAGCAGTGAGGAGCCTGCGAAGATCCAAGACACAGATTGTCTGGGGAAACAGGCTTCAGACCACCAAAGAGAAAACTAAAGAAAACGAGATAATAGGAACCTTTCCCAGTCTGTGCTGTGCATGTCTAACCTCCACCGTTAACAGAGTGCAGTCTTTACCCTGAGGAAGGACAGGTCACGGTGTTCGTCCATGTAAGTGACTTCCAGGTTCTCCAGGACCACAGTGCAGTTGCTGTAGGTCTTCACCATGTTCAGGTAGTGGTCTTCTTTGGACCCCAGAAGGTTTAAGCGGTTGGTGATGCCTTGGCATACTGCAGGGAAAGACAAAAAAAAAAAAAAAAATCTGTCAAACATGTCTGAATGTTATTTGAAACACATGATTCTCACTGTGTGTAAATCATCTGGAAATAAATGCAGTGTCACAAAACCAGTTATCCAAAGCCCCATGGTGCTATCACTCAGAAACATCCACTGCTTATGTAACATATTGGCTCAATTTATGACTTTCTGTGTGTGTGTGTGTGTGTGTGTGTGTGTGTGTGTGTGTGTGTGTGTGTGTGTGCGCGCGCAAGTGTCTCTGTTTGTAAATGCGGTCCGAGCAGTCATAACTTGGCCAGCTTTCATGTGAAAATAAGTGATCTGGGTAGCATCTACAATAGGAATCGAATCTCAGCGACAAAGCGAGTTCTGGCTCATGTGTCAAAGTGAGCTGGCTGTATTTATACTGGCAGAGGCCGCAGTCTTTCCACTGCTATGCAGGCTTGTTAAAACAACCACTGCAACCAGCATCTCCAAGGCTGTGTCATTTTGGAGAAAAGATTTGGTGTGTCACAGATTCCATGAGATTTGCGAGTCTGTTTCTTAGGTGGGGGTAAGGGATCTGTAGATCTCTAAATCTCATAATTTATAACGGTCTCAATAAATAGTTGAAGCGTATCTGATTTTAAGGGCAACATGACTAAATAACAATTTAGGGTTTGAATCAAATGCTGATCCACGCGCTTTCTGTTCCAGTAACAACAAAGGCAGCGATAGAGAGATTCACAGGACTACAATCGTGGGCTGATAGTGACCTATTTGGCATTATATAACTAAATGTTTGGATAAGGAAGGCAGTATTACTGATAAGTCCTGTGGATACTTAAGGCTCTTTCTTAATGAATGCAGTCTTTAGAGCAAGTATGCGCGTCAAGTCGTCTTCCTGTGTTCAGTCGTCCCAAGCTGGTCAGACAGGTTCTGACTGGCGCTGAGGAGAGAGTCAGCTGAGTTCAACACTGTGAACACCCCTCCGACGCACACACAGCCATACATACGCACACATTAACACTGTGCACACACATAATGAGCATATAACTGATTTCTCTCCTTTGAGTCTTAATTCATGGGTTGACTTGAGCAACAGGTTGAGAGAAAAACAAAAGATTCATCCTCCCGTGTATTTCAGAAGAAATTATGGTTCTGGTGTAATGTCTCCCGGGTCACATTCCACAACGTGTCTGCTCTTGACTGCAAGGAAAGGCCAAAACACACGCTCCAAATTCTGAGACACACCTCGCGACACCACATTGTACATAACACAGTTCATTTAACTAGAAACTGAAGGGGGGGAGGAAAAAAGAAAAAGGAATGATATCATCTTTGAGCTCAGTCAAACTAGTATCAAAAGCCAATTTTTTTTTTGTACTTTTCCTCTTCCACTGTGCATTTCTCACTCAGGTTATTGGGCCGTGTGTTCACACAAAGCGACAGAGAGCGGCACCGAATCACTGAGAATTAGGCAAAAAACAGCTGTCTCCCACCCTTCCTCTTCTTCCTCCTCATTAGCTTGTCCCTGAGGGATCTCCCTGATATGAACCCTGTGGTCCAGCAGCCTAACGCCCAGGCAACAGAGGCAGGCCAGCGAAAGCAAGCTGACCGTTTTAATTAGAGGAGCCATGTGAGATGTAATTAGCCCCTTAATTATTACTCAGACTGAGAAACCAAACTGTAATAAACAAAAAGGTTGTCATGACTGTGCAGCTGTGAATATTAATCAATCTGATTTGGACATCCCCAATGGCAGTTTGCTAACAGGGATGCTAAATCATGGTTAAATGGTTTGGCTGTTGTGCCATGTACATACAGTACATCTACACATACAGTACATACAGCCTGTTTCCTGCCTGTTCTGTTAATATTTATGATGACCAGTAAAGGCTGCAGGTGAGTAAAGTTTCAACAAACTTCCTCTAACTGAAGTTCATACTTGTGTGGCGCACAAGGAAGAAAAAAAAAAAAAAAAAGAATTGATTGCTCAAGCAAGCAGCAGCAGTGCTGTCATGGTAAACATTCTCCTTGCCCAGTTGTTGATTTCATGACTCTGGTGCAGGTGGTAAATGACCTGATATGCTACCACCATAAACTGACTTCCTCATTAGGCTGCAGCACATGAGAAAGAAACAAGGTCAGGCTGTATCAACATAGAAGTTATGACTGAAAGACATCGTAATTCTATCTAGACTTTCATTTTCTTCAAGACAACACAGCCTTCCACAGATGAAAATGACTCCCATATATTTGAGTTCGACGTGTCATAAAAAAGGTTGCACAACTGGCAAACCACCTTTCCGCCAGCAGAGACAGACAACAGCAGGTGAGCAAAAGAACACACAGATCGGAAATTACTGGGAGCAATCATGTTATTTCCATGTTTTTTCCATGCCATCTGATTCAAATTTGACTCATCAAACATTAAAATAAAAACCCCAGTTTACGGTCTGCTTAAATGCAAGGGTGGGGCCTGCAGAGACGTAACTGATACTGTGACAAAGACTAATTACAGATTGCTTCACTTCCTCCAGCTGTATTGTCGTCACAGAATGTCCAGAGGAGAGCTCTAGGAGCAAGGAGTGGCAGGTCTGCAATACTATTATCACTGTGTCAGTGCTGTGTGCATGTGCGTGCGTGCGTGTGTGTGCGTGTGTGTGTGTGTGGGCTGTGCATGAGTATGCAACGCTTGAGTTGTATAAAACATTCCCTGGATTGCGCTGCGCTGATCAGCACCAAGTCAGAGCTAGACAAAAGACTTGATAAACCCGGTCTTTAGTCATCTAAGCTTGTTGCTATGTGCGGTCGCATATCGCTCTTTTGATGTTTACTTGGGGACTAGTGTTGGAAGTCAAGGGTGTGTGGGTAGATATTTGTTTCTTGAGGCTATGGGATCTGTGCTACTACAGAAAAAAAAACTGTCTAAGCTTATTATGTGAGATAATTAGCTCATTATTCAGGTCCAATAAAGTGTTTGCCGACACAGAGAATGAGATGCATTTCTCTTCGACTTTCGAAGACGTACCACTCTCATGTGGAGAGCTCACATGCTACCGTTACAGAGACGTAGAAGTAGAACCTGTGATTCGCTCCGACATGGAAAGGTTACGCAAATCTTACCTGTTCAGTTCAGTTTCTTTAAAATAAAGTGTCTCTCAAAAATGTGAACTTAAAAGCTACTTCCAAAAGTAGCACATATGAAGGGCTGTTGCATTGGGTTGCGATGCCAGGTGTTTGCCTTATTAAGTCCATCTCCGTTATGATGTGAGCGGTTTTGGCACCGAACTGTAAATTGGAAACTTTTTTTTTTTAACTTTGAAGCTGAAAAACTTATTTGACAGAGAAAAGTGGAGTGAAACCAGGGTATAAAACCAAAGTCACAGCAGACAAAACTTACAGTAAACACGTGAGACATATTAACTAAACATGGTAAGATCAGATGTACAATGTTACCAAAAGTACTAAAACCAACCAAAGCAAAAAAGGGTCAAAGTCTGCCATAAATTCACATTTTGAGGTCTCATTTACATATTTGGATGAAGCTTTGTATTTTTCTTGCCATTGGAGGAAACAGTAAATGTCCACATATGCAAACCAAACTTTCCCGGGACATTGCAATAGCTTCTCAAACCCATTTAATGATTTCCTTTGGCACACTGAGCCGTCTACTATACGTTTAAATGATCGTGCTTTATACCTTTCTACAGAGAACAGAAATGGCCCTGCCGCATTTGCTTCCTCTCATTCACTACCTGCAATTCAATTACGCTGTGTCCAGAGTCTGATGATTGCATTATCTGAAAACTTATACATAATTAAAGGGAAGTAACAACGCTAACTGACATGACTTGTTTATTTCTCTCTCCAAGTCAACAGCATTACGGCAAAGTCTCTTATGTAACTCAATCTGCAGTGTTCCTCTGCTGATAACAAATCGATGCCAAGATTAATTCCCTTATTTAGAGGTAAATTATGGTTAACCCCCTCATATGTCTGTGCAGACAGTAAGAAGATGAAAAACACACCATCAACTTTTACAGCCATACAGTTTAGAGTAGGGGGCTCCTTGGAGTTGCACATACTCCGATTTCCAGATTTCAGGGAAGCATAAATCTCCAAAAGTTCACTATCAGTGAAAAAAAAAAAAGAAGCCACTTCCTTGATTCTTTCTGTGCAATCAGCTCATACTTCCTACTCTTATATTTTCTGACTGGCTGAGATTCAGGAGGAGAACAGGGATTGAATGTCATATAAAGACCAAACTAGCAGCACAAGTAGATATATGTGCATTCTGTGGTGGTGTACTATATTCATATAAACATACTTTGTAGTTCCTGATATCCTGCTCTCTTCCTTTGCGTGGGAGATGCATCAATCCCTCAGAGAAAACATCTTGGGGCCTCAGAAAAGAAAAAAGGGGCCAGAGGATACCCCCCCACTTTCCCTCCCTATCCCCAGTGAATGCAACAACACAAACCCCTCTGACATCTCAGGAAGTTGATCTTTGCACAGGGTCAGTTTCATACGGCTACCCCATGACGCTGAACCAGATGGTAGCTGATTGTCGTCTCCAGGGGAAGAGGACGAGGGGATGATCTAAATCAAGCTTAATGTGCTATTGGAGAAAGAGAACTGATGGAAAGGAAGTGAGAGGACAGAAGAAAAAAAAATGAAAACGAGAAGAAAAAAGGAGAGAAATGAGTGGTTTGTGGTTTAACTAACCGAGGTGGTGGACATAGCGGCAGGCCGCGGGGTCAAACTGTGGAGAGGGGGTGCAAAGCCTCACACTTGATGTATGAACATGGCTGACCTTTCCCTGGAGGCTATAACAAAGGGGATAAACCTTGAAGCATCCAGCTGTAGAACACGAGCAAATGAAGCGTCCCACTGAATATGTCACGTGTCCTCTGAGCAGCTCGAAGCTGCCTCGAGTTTGAGCGCAGTCAGTGAAGTTTAGTCTGTTAAAAGCTCAGCAAAGTGACCAAATAAAGACCAAAAAGGCTCC